AACTGCAGCAAGAGAGTCATCACTGTGCTTTAGAGTTTTTAGACAACTTATGGGGAAATGCGCGCAGCCGCAGCTGCTGCTGCCGTGGCTGCCGCAGATCTTGACCGGGCTAGACCGACCTGTATGTTGCTGCTGTTGCTGTTTGCTGCTGCTGCCGTTGCTGCTCCTGCTGCTACAGCCTGCTAATGGTGCTGCTGCTGCTGCTTGTTGCCGCTGCCTTCTGCACCTGTGGTTTGGCTTCTGTTGCTGCGGCTTTGCTGTTTTTGCGGCTTTGTACGCCGAGAGTTGAGCAGCTACTGCTGCTGCAGCACCACAGGAAGCCTATGTGTTGGTGAAAGCTGCGTTGCTGTTGCTGCTGCTGCTGCTGTTGCTTTCAGGAAGCCGCAGAGCTGGAACGGCTGCTGTACGCGCTGCTGCTGCAGGCGCCGCAGCAGCTTTACTTTGATATCCGCACTGCTTACTTAGAGAAGCGGGAGCAGTTTGCGCAGCAGCAGCTGCTGCAGACACTTAAGCCTCAGCAACAGCACCAGCAGCAGCAGCAGCAGTCCCTCACGCTCCTCTCCTGGCTCATGACGGTTTTCCGCGCGTCCTTCACCCCCCAGTGCATTGCACTCGATCACCTCGCAGGTAAGGGTTTAGGGTTTAGGGTTTAGGGCTTTGGGTTTAGGGTCTCAGGTTTTGGTTGTGGCTTGCGGGGCACAGCGACAGGTCGTAGGCTTAAACCCTAAACCCTAAACCCTAAACCCCAGGCAGCCGAGACAGCCCTTCACTTCCGAATTCGGAGGCCTCCGGCCGTGCAGCAGGAGTGAGGACTAGGTAGGGGTTTAGGGTTTAGGGTTTAGGGTTTAGGGTTTGTGGTTTGTGGTTTAGAGGAGTTGGTTGCGCATGCGAAGCCGTCGACAGTGGATGAAATAATCTGCGCTGTACGTACACTGCTGCAGCAGTGTTTGGAAGTGCCACAAGGCAGCAATTTGCTGCCAGCAGTAGCAGCACAGTTTTTGAGAGTTAATATTGTGTCTCGTTTCAAGAATAGGTACGGGACGGACTCTCCAGCTGCTGCTGGCAGCAGCAGCAAGGCCCGCCAGAGCAGCAGCAGCAGCAGCAGCAGCAGCGGGAGGAGCGGGTGCTGCTGCGGGGGCGCGGCGGCGGAGTCGACGCGGCGAACCATGCGGAGCCTGTGGCCGCTGTTCAAGCAGGACTTTGAGTTTGCTGCTGCTGCGGACGCCAGCAGCAGCAGCAGCAGCAGCGGGGTGAGCCTATGCGAGGTGATTGCAAAGCTGAAGAGGTGGAAAGACCTGCTCAGCAGCAAAACGCAATGTGGGGAGCAGCAGCAACCTCCCTTCGAAGATGTTGGAGCTTCTCTTTGTGATGTGTTTACCCGCGTGAGTGTGGAAATAGAAGTGCCGGGGCTGCGTTTGCTGCAGCTGGGGGACGGGTTTCTGCAGCAGCAGCAGCAGCAGCAGCAGCAGCAGCGCGGCGCGGTGTACATACAGCAGTTCGGCTCCGCGTACACCACTGTCACCCGTTCCCACTACACTCTCAAAAGAATCCAAATCGTTGGCAGCAACGGCAGCAGCTATTTCTTTTTGGTGCAGCCTTACAGCACCGCTCACCAGCGCACGGAGCAGCGGCTGCTGTGTCTGCTGCTGCAGCTGAACTTGCTGCTGCAGCGCCACAACCCCTCCCGCCGCCGCGGCCTGGCCTTCCCCCTTGCTGCTCAGGTGTCTATACACCCCAGGTGCAGGCTCCTCGAGGACGCCCCCTCTTATGTCTCGCTGCAGCAAATCATCAACGAGCGATCCCGCGCCGATCCCGATCCCAGCAAGTCCGACCCCGACGTTCCCGTGCTGCTGCACCGCTCCCTCATCCTGCAGCAGCTCAGCAGCACCATGCTGCAGCAGGCCCTCGCGCTGCTGCAGCAACACAGAAACACGCCCCATGAAACGCCCCCGCACGCCCACGCAGACGCCTCCCACCAGCAGCAGCAGCAGCAGCAGCAGCAGCAGCAGCAGCAGCAAGGCGCGCCCGCCGGAACGAACCCCAGCGGCAGCAGCAGCAGCGCCGGACTCCGCCAGCTGCCGCAGCAGCTGCTGCAGCTCCTCTGCTCCCCCGGATTCTGCAAGGACGAAGCGCAGCAGCAAATGCTTAACCGCATTCTTGAGCTGCAGCCTCTCGAGCCTCCTGCTGCCCCTGCTGCTGCTGCTGCTCCAGACGGTTCCGCTGCTGCTGATCCTGCGGCGTCGGCCCCCCGGGCAGACCCCTCTGCTGCCGGTGCTGCAAACAGTGCAGCAGGAGCAGCAGCACCTGCGGGAGCAGTTCCAAGCAGCCCGTCTGAGCCCGCCTCCAGCAGCAGCAGCAGCAGCAGCAGCGACGCAGTGGCGGGTTCCCCAGCAGCAGCGGCGGCGCCCCTGCTGCCCGCGCCTCCTCGCCAGCCCCCGCAGCAGCAGCAGCAGCAGCAGCAGGAGGCGGAGCAGCGGTGGCTGCTGGAGTTTCAGCGGAGCTGCCAGCTGCAGGCGGCGCAGGAGGTGTACGGACAGCTGTGTGGGGTGGTGTCGGAGAGCGTGCTTCGGGTGTACGTACACCGGAGCGTGTGGGGCGCGGAGGAACTGTTTGTGTTCAAAAGACAGTTCACGCAGAGCCACGCAGTTTACTGCATTTTGAATTATTTGTTTTGCATGCCAGACATAAGTCCCAACAAAGTGCTGCTGGACCTGCAGACTGGCCAGGCCCTGCAGGCCGAACTCAAGGCCTGCTACTGTGCTGCTTCTTTGCTGCTGGCTTTCGGGGATCGGATCCCATTTCGGCTAACTCGAAACATCGAATTATTAATTGACGTTTTCGGCAGGGCGGGGCTGCTCCCCGGGTGTATGTACACCCTGGTTTGCTGCCTCCAGAGCTACAGCAGCCACTTCTCCAACGCTGCTGCGCTGCTCATCCGCGACGATGTCGCCTTCTTCTACAGGCAGAAGCAGCAGCAGCAGCAGCAGCTCCTCCTCCAGCAGCAGCAGCAGCAGCAGCAGCAGCAGCAGCAGGGGCAGGGGCACCCGGAGGGCACGCAGCAACAGCAGCAGCCTGCCGCAGGCTTCCAGTCCGCCAGCGCCGCTGCTGCTGCTGCTGCTGCTGGCTCCAGCAGCAGCAGCAGCAACGCGGAGGAAACCGCCACAGTGCGCCGTGTTGTCGATATCAACATCAGCCGCATTTCAGAAGCCCTTAAGAGACTTCAGGGGACTCCTAAACCTCCCGCAGAACCAAAGGTCAGGCTAGGGTTTAGAGCTCAGGGTTTAGGGTTTAGGGTTTGGGGTTTAGGCCGTTGCTCGCATGCATAAAAGCAAGTTTCTGCACAAAACATCAATTTTTGCGGAGAACTTCGCCGATTTGTCATTTAAATTATTATTTATTATTTATTCATTATTTATTCATTATTTATTCATTATTTATATTTGTGATTTATTTAATCATTTATTGGTCCATTTAAGCAGCTTTTTGTTTTTGGCGACCCGCAGGCGGACCAACTCCCCATAGACTCCCAAGTCACAATGCTGCTTCGCATTGCCACCCGCAAGGACTTCCTCGCCACTGCCAAACCCACCTGGCAAGCCTGGTACTGACAGCTAGCTAGCTAGCTAGCTAGCTGGCTAGCTGGCTGGCTAGCCGGCTAGCTCTTCAGCTAGTTCGCTAGCTACCTAGCTAGCTAGCTAGCTTGCTTGGGTGGCTGGCGTTCGGTGCCCCAGCTAGCGAGAGCAGACTGGCGTTCAGCAGTTTTTAAGACCCTGGCTGGCGAGCTAGCTAGCTAGCTAACAGCTAGCTGTCTGGCCGGCCTGCTAGCTAGCTAGCTAGCTAGCTAGCTAGCAAGCCGGCCAGACAGATGGCTAGCTAGGGTTGCCTCACTAGCTAGCAGGCAAGCGCGACAGCTAACGGGCAAGCTGCCTAGCTTCCTGGCAAGCTAGCTAGCTAGCTGGCTAGCTAGCTAGCTAGCTAGGTAGCACATGACTGGCCTGCTGGGGCAAGCGCCGCTGCAGCTAGCCATGGCTAGCTGCCCCGTGACTAGCTGGGGCTCGTGCCCAGCTAGCCATTCAACTGAAGCCCCTTTGGCTTTATTCGAAACCAATTGTTTCATCTTTGGCTTTTTTTTGGAGTGTACGTACACCTCAACACTGCAGTCGCAACAAGCAGACCTGCCTGATCCTGTGCACACTCGGCACTGCTAGCTAGCTGGCTGGCTAGCTAGCTAGCTAGCTATCTGACTAATCGCTTAGATAACTAGCTAGCAAACTAACTAGCTGGCCAACTGCCTAGCCAACAAGCTAGCCAGCTATCTAGCTAACCAACTGACTAACTGCCTAGAAAATTCGCTAGCCAGCTAGCTAATTAGCTGACAAACTAGCTAGCTAGCTAGCTAGCCGGCCAGCTAATTAGTTGACAAACTAGCTAGCTAGCTAGCTAGCTAGCTAGCCAGCTGTTTGCGCCACGGGGGCGTCTACAGTGGCATTATGGTTGGGTTGCTTTGGAACCAGATACAGCCTGGCAGCTAGCTGGCACGCTGCTGCCTCTCAGCTACCTAGCTAGCTAGCTAGCCAAACGGCTAGCTAGCCACTGGTGTGTAGAAAGCTAGCTAGCCAAACAGCTAGCTAGCCACTAGTGACTAGCTAGCTAGCCAGCCGCCTCAGCTTGCTGGTTCCAGAAGTCGGTTCTCCCGGATACCCCGGAAAACAGATGGGTGGCTGCCTTGCGACGCTGCTAGCCAGCTAGCTAGCTAGCTAGCTAGCTAGCTAGCTAAAAAAAACTAGCTAGCTACCTAGCTACCTAGCTAGCTAGCTCGCAGGGCGGCGTTTCATCAAGGCAGCTTTGCTTGGGTGCCTTACACCAGAGCTGCTCGCGTGCAGCACCGTCGCCCGCGCCCAGCTAGCTAGCCAGCTAGCTAGCCAGCTAGCTAGCCAGCTAGTTAGCCAGCTAGCTAGCTAGCTCGCTAGCTAAGCTAGATAGCTGGCTAGCTAGACTGGCAAAGGACACAGCTAACGAAGGCTCACGCTGGCTGCGTGGACCAGGAGCATCCTCTCAGCTAGCTAGCTATTTAGCTAGCCAGCTAGCCAGCTAGCTAGCTAGCCAGCTAGCTAACTAGCCAGCCAGCTAGCTAGCCAGCGAGCTAACTAGGTAGAAAGCTGGATAGCTAGCCAGCTGACCAGCTGCAGGGCTACACAGCTAGCTAGCTAGCCACCTAGCTGGCTAGCTAGCTAGCTAGCTAGCTAG